CGCTTCGATTTTTCGCCTACAGTCTTAGCCACAATGGAGGCCTACGAGAACATAACTATTGGTGAAAAGCTCATGTGTTGTCAATACGGAGTGACCGCGATGTTATGTTGCAAGCGTGACTAACCAGCTGCCCTCGTGCAAGCGCGCCACGGAAGATCTCTTTAACACCATAACAGGGGATCCCAGCCCGCGAGATATCGTGACTGCAGACATGGTCAACTGTGGAAAAGTCTTCCTAAAGTCAAGGAGTTGGACGGAGCGGAACGGCGTATATGGTCAAGACAGTCCTGGGCGTGTTTTATGCTAAGACTTTACACTTCTACAGTTTTGGAATCGTCTCTTCTCGAAGGGTTAGAAGCAGACATTGATTGTAGATGCGGAGAGTATATGCTGCCTTGTCGGGGTATATCAAGCCACAATCATGCCTTCTCAACGAATCTAAGCTGTCTTCACGAGGAAGCTACGTTCTTCTACGAGTGTCCGGCAATAGCCTTGGGCTGGTACAGCTCCTCGAGATACTTCTCCTCTTCTTCGGAGAGCACTTTTCCCTTGGCCGAAATCGCCTCATCGATACGGGCAGTGCTCGAGAACCCAACAATAGGCGAAGAAACGCGCTTGTTGATCCACGCGAGGGCGACGTGCGTCATGCTCCAGCTGTCGTCGTCCTTCTTCTTCTTGTCCGCGAGCTCCTGCACGCGCCCGATAATCTGGACGTCGACCTCGGGCAGGTCCTGTCCTCCCCGTGACGCCTTCTCGCCCTCGCTGCGCTTCGTCGTGCCGAAGCTCGTGGCGGGGCGGGCGAGGTTGCCCCGGGCTAGCGGGGACCACGGGATCAGACCGACGCCTGTATCGTTGCAGAAGCGGTTCATCTCGCGCTCCTCCTCGCGGTAGAGCAGGCTGTAGTGGTTCTGCATCGAGACGAACTTTGTCCAGCCGTTCTTCTCAGCAACGAACTGCATACGGGCGAAGTTGACAGCCCTGTTCAAAGAGAGAGTGCGAGTTAGCCGGTACACTGCGAGTGTGGGAAGGACGGATCGAGAGCGAAGATCGGATGGGAACATACCACATGCTGGAGGCACCGATGTACCGAACCTTGCCTTGCTCAACGAGGTCATGCAGGGCCTTCATTGTCTCCTCGATGGGCGTGTTATAGTCGAAGCGATGGATCTGGAGCAGGTCGATGTAAGGCGTGTCGAGTCTCTTCAGGGACGCCTCGACCTGGTTGAAGATGGAAGCTCTGGACAGGCCATGCTGGTTGACGTAGTCCTTGGAGGCTTCAAATTCGGCACGCTTCATGTAGTGGGCTACGTCTGGCTGCTCGCCGACACCCCAGTAGCACTTTGTCATAATGATGACCTTCTCCCGCGGGATGTTGTACTTCTTGAGAGCCTTGCCGACGATGACTTCGCTAGCACCGTTCGAGTACATGTTGGCAGTGTCCCAGCTGTTGATGCCGCGGTCGTATGCATGCTTGAGGAGAGGCAGGGCCTGTCGGGCAGCGAGTTAGTGTCTGGCCTACAACAACCTGGCACGGTACATACATCTTCCTCGTCGACAACCCATGGCATAGCCTTGGTGTCCCCAAAACTCATGCAACCGAAAACAGGAACCGAAACCTTGAGACCACTGCTTCCTAGGCGGCGGTATTCAACCTTGGTGGAGTCAAGCGACTGCTGGAGGCCTTGTGGCAGTGACATTGTGGCGTGTTGATTATCTCTTGATGTTATGCAAGTTGGTGAATACGAAGAGGACGGAAGTTGTGGGAGGAAAGCAAGAATTTCGAAGCTCAGTGAAAAAAGAAGTGTCGAGGGTATCGAGGTACGTATGGTCCGGGCAGGCTGATACACGACTCTCCAACCCGGTGGCCAATGGTGAGTGGCACATTGTCCCCAACTTTTCTCCAGTCCAGCCTGACGGAAGTTCACCTGGTGCTCGGAGAAGCAGGGGCCGGCCAAACCAAGAATGAGGGGTAGCGGTGCCGTTGACGGCCTGTAGGCCAACTACCCTGCCCAGCTTTGTCCTTATGGAGAAGGAGACAACAACCCGACGCCACTGAACGCTGTCGTGGGGGTTCAGCCGGCCTTAGCGGGTGTCAAACTTTATCTCCGCCGGTCCTCCAGGTTGTTGTTTGCCGCTGTCGAAATAGATACGTGAGGTGGTCGATGTACACGGTGATTCAACTTGCCGGGTGGGGCTTTCTCTCCGGCCGCTCTGGTGGTGCCTGTGGCTTCTTTAATATACCCTTGGGGATCTATCCTGATCTCAGTGCCTGGTCACCTTTGACAAGCAACACCCGAGCGTTCAATTTTGAGTCAGTAGGTCCTTCTACAGAAGAACCTGGGTCTTGTCAGAAACTGGTGGCTACACGAATATGCGTTGCTGCAACTGGAACCGCGGTCCTGTGCAGCAGGCAAGAGGGGCAATGCCACCAGGCGTCGTCTTTTTTCGAAGGATTTTCGCAGGGATGCTTTGGTCATTATCTTTGGCGAGGACACACAAAGGACGACTGGCGATGATCTGGGGGCGGATGTCAGGTGGAAGCTCCAGAGCTGAGGGAACATCCTGTTGTGAACCCTTGGGAAAGTAAAGCATGTACCTTGAGGTAAGGACGTAGGCACCTATGACGTGCACAGCGGCATGCACCCTACTGCGGTGCACCCTGGCATTGAGCTCGACGCCTGAGGCAGGTACATGCCCAGGCAACCACAACCATTCCTCGAACTAAGGGTCCAGGACACAACAGTTCGGCAGTGTAACAGCCATCGACCATTACCGTCCCGCGTCAACGTTGCACTAGCTTCACCGTCATGGATCTACTCTCCCTCCCCCCTGAAGTGCTCTTGCAGGTATTCGATGTCTTGCGAACAGATGGCGACATCGACTCCCTACGAGCCTCGCTGCTCGTCTGCCGGACGATGCAAGGTGTCGCCGAGCGCGCTCTCTACCACACAATCGCATTCAGGAAGCGGTCCTCAATGCAGGTGCTGGCCAGAGCGCTTGAAGCAGACCCGCGCCGGCTGAGATACATCCAGGACCTCGAACTGCAGTGGTCAACTCTCAACTACGAGCATGGAGGGATCCAGCCCCCGGATATCGCAGCTATGCTGAATCTGCGGCGCCTGCTTTCGGAAAGCCCAGAATGTCAGCCTTGGGCCCTGAAAAACGGCGGGTGGAAGCCTGACATGCAAAACTGTCTCAACGCTTTCCAGGAGGCCTCACTACGGAGCACGATCACGGGTCCCAGACCACTTGAACATCTCCTCTCACGTAGGTGTCCATGACACCGGTCCAGGCTGTTGGGCTTCTGCTAAAAGATTCCCAGTGACATTACATTGGTCCGGTGATGGCGAACGCTTTTGGTCTGTCACGCCCAGCTGTCCCATCTTCCTCCACCCTACATTGCGAGAAATCAAGCTCTCATGCGTATCCATTGTCGGCCCCGAGGGTGACGATGACACAGAATGGGGTGCTGGCCTGGATGAGTTCTGTCACAAGACAGCACTCGAGAGTCTGCATTTTGAGGAAAGCCTCGTCTCCCCGCGCGCTCTGGAGAGGATCCTGTCCCTACCGAAATCGCTCAAGCGTTTCATGTTCCAGGAAGTCTCTCACCACCGGCCTGGCGTCGCCCGCTTCATCTACGAGCTGATTGGGTTCGATAACAATACACTGAATGCGGCATTGGTGCAACAGGCCAATAGTCTCGAGCATCTTGCTCTCGAAAGCTCCAAGTATTTGAGAGCATCTCAATCGTCACCTGCTGACATTGTGCTGTCTTTGGGTGACTTCAGAAATCTGAAGAGCCTCGAGCTTGGATACCACCTGTTACGACGCAACGAGCCATGGATGCTCATGTATCCTCTACCTCCATATCTGGAGAGGTTCCGAGTGACAGAGTTCCGTCCCGAGAAGGCTGCGGCAGTCCGCAAGTCCCTAATCTCCATGCTCCGGGTGGACGAGCTGATCAAGAACGCCCACGCGCGAAACCACCTCTTTCATCTAGATATATGGCTGCCGAGCATACACTTCAGATCTAGCTTGGAACTGGACGCCAACTTTACGCGACTGGAGCCCATCATCAATGCACTTGATGGCAAAATGCTTCGCGGACCAGCGTGGGAAGGCGTTCTTCCATTGTCATCAGGAATACCCGATTCTGCTCTGGAAGAGGGGATCGCTGCTCCCCAACCCTGGCCTCGAGTAAGCATCGTATCGGTCAAGAAGATGGGCGATTATATCCCGCCCTATCTACATGGGGAGAGGAGGCCAGAGTACGCACCACTCTTTGACACGCATGATGGTTTCTTGACTGAGGAGTTGTTCAACACCATTCAAGGAGAAATCCAGAGAGGAATGGGAGGGGAGGCCGAAGAATGGGAGGTCATAGAGGGAGTGGGGGAAGAGGAAGATGACAGCGAGGAAGGAGACAGCAGTGCCGAGGAGGAAGATGAGGAGGAGAACGATGAGAATGACGATGCAGGTGGAGATGACGAGAGCGAAGTTGAGGGAGATGAGAATAACGAGGATGAAGAGTCTGAGGGGGCCTCTCAGACAACGATACCAGCTCCGAAGCTCCTGACTTCGCCTCCCCCGCCTCCTCCTCCTCTGACCTAGTCTCAAGGCCAACCTTCGACTCGAGTAAGAGCATCGGCTACATAGACTTATGCTTAATAGCGTTCGAGCGGATATTCATGTTGACCACAATCCCCCATGCTTTCAAGCCTTTGCTGCAATTTTGCATGATTGCATCCTGCTAAATTGATGAGACTGACGACAGGTCGCGGCATATGTGTTGCTCTGACAGAAAGTCTGCACTATCCGGACACGATGACCTTGAAGTTGCAGGCCCATCGATCATATAGGCTTCACTGGTGTTAACCACGAAGTGCCTCAGTGTGGTCCTGCAAAAAACAAAAACAAAAAAAAAACATCGTTCCGATCGGAGCAAGCCAAGGGAGTGGTGGAATGATCCACACCAAAAGAAACGCAAAACATTTGCGCAACGATCTCGCTGGGGATCGAACCCAGAATCTTCAGAGTGTTCAGCTAACCCGAGGGTTTGCCGTGTGGATTACGGTGTACCGAAATCTGACGCCTTGCCATTAGGCCACAAGACCAGTTGTGAATTCAAGTGGTCTTATCGTTAACTATATCACAATATTGCAGAGACCTGCCAATGGTCTTGCTTGGTGCAATTTGGCGAACAGTAGCACTGAAGCTGCGACAAAGGTACTCTGGGATTGTCTTCAGCTGCTCGAAAATCAGAGAGTTGCACATCTCGGGGGTATTTCATGTCTACGACGGAAGTCCAAGTCCGTTATCTTTGAGCTCGGTCAATGAATTGGGGCTGGGTGAGAAGCCGAGTCAGTCGATTCGCCCCGATTGTTGGAGAGGTCGGACCCTGCATGGCAACCGCTCGAGTCGACCTCCACCACACACCATCGGTCTCTTGAGCTCGGCAGTACTGCCGCCATCGGAGCCGCCCGCAATTCATTAGTCGTAAAAGACGTGTGCTGCGCCCTGTCATTCCGGCACGCAGACGAGACAATCTGTTCGCGAACCAGAGTCGTCATCTTCAACAGCTGAAGCACCGGCAGGGTCGCGCAAACAGCGGCGGCGCAAGGTGCTGCGGCTCGGAGACGATCCAGCAGAGCGGGGCTGTCGTGAAGCTCTCCGGATATCTTTCGGGATCTGGAACCTACGCATGCCGCACGGCTGGCACATCTGCCATGCCTCCCGACTTCGAAGAAGAGGCCCCTGAAGGCCCGGCAGTCGAGCACGTACCTGTCGAGGACCTGACGCCTGACGAGGCGAGCCACATCCTCCACTCGCACCGCAAGGTTCGCTATGGTGAGTCGTGTTCCGGTTCATCATCAGATCCTGCTCAGCTGGTATCTGTATGTACTAAATGCACCATCGCTGACTTGTGACAAACAGGCACCGCCTGCTGGCCTTGCAGGCAGCGCAAGGTAAAGTGCGACAATAAGCAGCCATGCGACAATTGCGTCAAGCGCGACCATCCACAGCTCTGTTCGTATAAGCCCAACCGGCCTGGTGCCGCGCGTGCCAGCTTCTCTGCCGGCGCTGGTGTTGTACTTCAGCAGACAAAGAAGCGTGCTCTGTCGCCAGATGAGCATCACCAATCGCAACAGCAGCCGCAGCAGATCAGCAGGAGGAGCAGCGGCGGAGAGGGAGGCGAGGGATGGCCCAAGGCAGCCGAAGAAGAGCCAGAGACGGCCGAGATATCTCGCTACGTAGGCCAGAACAGCATCGCAGCGCTGCTCCGGGACCAGCCCTCACCCATGGAGACCAAGGAAGGGTTCGACATCCGGCGAGACATGCGCCCAATCCTGGGTCTTGACAACAGCGCTGCGTTTCCCCTGATGTCAACCAAGCATCTCGACCGCATGACCCAGGATATCATCGCTCAGTTACCCTCGGATCGGGAGGTCATGAAGTATGCAATGTCCCTCATCATAGGGAAGGCCCGGCGCTGACAAGTGTGATCAGACTCTTCAGAGCTTACAAGGAAGTCACCCACCCATTCTGGGGATTTGTGATCGACATCGACGACCTCGAATCACGGATGATGGTCTACCTCGAAGAGCGCACCCGGAGCACGACAGGCGGGCAAAAAGCTTCAAGACCAGTGTCGGCGTCATGGCTCGCGATCTTGTTCGCTGTACTGGCCGTTGGGTCGCAGTATCATGACTCCCCTTATCACGTCAGGACGCGCGACTCGCAGCGATATATGCAGGTCTCGTACCACTTCTTGCAGCTAGGGAATTTCCTTCTTCGGTAGGTCAAGACCTTGTTTGAGCTCTCATCCTGCTTCTCTGACACATACTGATTCCTGGTGGTGGCTGCAGGCCGAACCTCGATGCGATCCAAGCTCTCCTATTAGTGAGCTTTGTCCTTCTCAACGACATGAAGGCGGAAGGGTCATGGGCTTTGATAGGCATGACCTGCCGCCTCGCACAGTCTTTGGGCTTGCACCGCACCCCTCCGTCCGACAACGAGTCGCCCGAGGCCGCCACGAAAAACTTTGCACGGCGGAAGCTATGGTGAGCTGATTATCAGAAAGAACATTGGTCAGCGGTGTATACTGACAACCAGCTAGGTGGACATGCCAATGGCACGACACTCTCACATCACTGTCCTTTGACAGGTAAGTCGCTCATCTTTATTGTCTACAGAAACAAAAGCTGACCTATGCAAGACCAAACATGACAAATATCCAGTGCTGCCCCATCCCACTACAGCCCAGCTCATCGCCGGACAACCTCTCCTATCTCGAAGCCATGTACCACCTCTGCGAGATCATCTCCAAACAGCTGAATCCGGACGCCATAACCAGTTCGACCGCCGAGTCCATACAGAGCACCTGTGAAGCTGTCGAATCACTCAGGGCCCGCACACACCCGCAGCTCCGCAGCAAGGAAACATGTAAGACTGTCGTCGACCGCCTCCAATTCTTTGCACTGCGCCTACACACATCGTTCGTCATCTCTGTCTGCTGCCGTCCGGCCCTGAGGCAGGGTAACGATACCAAGCTCAACGAGGAGGACAAGAAGATCCTCTTCGCGAAGTGCAAAGTCAACCTCGCTGAGACCGTGCGCATGTTCCTCGCCATGCACCGCTTATCGAACATCCCTACGCGCAGCTGGGCTTTCACCTACCACGGGCTTTCTTCAGCAGTGTTACTTGGAATCATCTCGGGTGCAGAGAAGCGGCAGGACCCGGAGATCCGCGGTCTGCAAGGCGACCTCATAGCGGCGCTGTCTGCCGCCGCGGCTAAGGACTCGACAAGCCCCGCGTCAGAACACAACGTGGTCCGCAGCGCGCTTGAGATAGAGCTCAGCGGCCCGTTGTCGAGAGCTCTCCATGCCCTGAAGAACATATACGACTATGGTACGCTGCACGGTGCCTCGGCAGCACTGAAGAGTGAGGTTGCCTCCAGGGCGAGAACCCCTGTGGCAGGCCATCCTCCGGCCTCGGCTGCCGCGGTAGTGTCTGCACAGAATTCGACTATGTACTCACAGCAACACCAACCGCATGGAGTATATCAACAACATCAACAGCAGCAGCTCCAGCAGCAGAATTCCCACCACTCCCCCGTTCTCGGCAGGTCTAATTCGAACTTTGTTGATCGCCACCAAGATGCGGCGCTGGCTATGGCGGAGCTGCAGAACGGGAGCACTTTCTCAGAGTACTCTGGGTAAGCAAAATGGCATTTGCGCCCAACAACGGTCTTTGGCTAACCCGCGCGTTTCTCGTTTTCTTTCTGGCAGGTCATACTCAGGTGCACTAGATCACCAGACAAGCTCGACAGACTTCAACGGGATGGATGCTAGCGCATTGGCGCCGATGGAGCTTTACGACTCTATCTTCTGGGGTACGTTCTCATTCTTCCGCGACTCTTGCCACCATATGTACCCTTGTGATACTTCGAATTGGGGAAAGACTCATATCGAGCCCCCTTGCACGAACGTCACGGATTCCGAAACCCTCTGCTGACTTCTTGCTTTTTTCCATTGCGACGTAGAATCCCCAGATCCGTTTTACACCGGCGTGGACATGAGTTTCGACTTTTCCTCGCCTGCCCAGCAGCAGGGCTCAACGGGACAACCTTCGGGCCAGCCGTCGTCTTCAAGCAACCACCACCAACCATTTTACTTCTGAGGCTGTCTCGCTTGCCGTTTCTATATTCTGGACGGATCGTAGCTATATTTTCGTTCGCGCATTCGTTTTTTAGCGAGCATCACGCCTGCAATAGTTGTTGTTGTTCATACGGGCAAGCCTGTCAAGTCTGATGGTTTTGGACGGGACTGATTTTAGAGGCGTTCACGGATTGCACAGGATTGGATTGTTTTGAGCCATTGGCACATGATGGAGAGCATTGCGTTGCCTACCTCTGCTATCTCTAGGCTTCTGCAATTCTAATTCCTGAGTAAGGTCGCAGTCCTTGTTTAACTTGAAGTATGTGTCGCATTCATTGCCCTCCAGCGAGTTCATATCGTCAGGCATGATAGACACACATGGTGTTGGTGTTCAACTTGCATGTAGACACGGATGACAAGTAGAAGAGATGCATGCCAGAAAACACTGGGGTGACCTGGGTCTGTGGCCGGTAGCAACGAGAAAGTTCGATTGCAACCATCGTTTTCGATTGCACGACTCAGAGCGTCCTCACCAAACCCAACCATTCTCCTGCATGCATGCTGATATGGGATTGGATGTCTGGAAGCTCCGCCTCACGGTAAGCCCTCAGCCCCAGCGTCCCGCGTCCCGTACCTGTTGTCCCCTGCATGCACTGCCCCCTCCCTCTCTCCCTCCCTCCCTCACCCCGTCAGCTTTCACTTACACGGGTCGCGGGGACGGACGTACTTAAATACTCACCATTACTCTTGCAAAAACTCATCAACGACAATTCTCGTCCATCTCAATCCTCTCCAAAAGCACACGGTGCCTCTTATCATCTCACTTGGATCCTCAGTGCAATTGGTCCAAGAAACTGCCCTTGAGCCATTGAGCATCTTCACGACTTGTTGCATTTTATTTGTCCCTCCTCCACCGATCTTCAACTTGATCCTATGCGATCATAGCCGAAATGGCGATACAGCGCAGCCAGAACCGGCAGCCCGCAAACTTCCGCACCCCAGCACGAGAAGACTTCCGCAGCAAGACAATCACCCGGACGTATACCGGCCTGATCAGCGCGCTCGCTGATCCATCCTTTGGTCCACCAGCCAAAATCGCCAAGCCCCCATTTGACGAGCCAGAGAGGACATGCGGCGTCAGCAGCAGCAGCGCTTGCGACAACGATGAAGCCGAGATCCGGGGTCTCCTGACACGCAGGAACACGATCCAAGAGCTGGCTGCTCAGATACAGGCGGCCGATCCTCAAATGCTGTACGCCGACGTCCTGGCAGCGACAACTCCGCAGGCTGTAGGCCGCTCAATGGCGGTTGACAGCATCGGTGGCGACGACTAGGACCAGGCAAGGACAAACCCATCTGGTTTTCTTCTTCTTGTCTCAGTTCCTTTCCTGTTGTGAAATCACAACGGGAGAGACGGATTCACGAGAGGAATACACTTCGCGCTCATCATCTGCCGC